TGAGTATCAAGAGCTTGTACAAGGTCAGGATCTGAACCCGCAGTGGTGTATCGTTGGCCCCTGATGCATGGATTACTTATTCTATGAGTGTGCCCTTTTTGCATTCCTTTTTTTCTTAATCCATGGAAAATTGTTGCTTCTACCTTCTTTAGATTAGGTGTGTTGTCCATTTTGCCGTTTTGTTCGGAAAGGACTGAGGCCCTATGATGGGTCCGCTGGACCCGGTTTCCAGCTCAGCAGAAACTGGGTAGCGGCCCGAATTCTCCGGGCTGGTTGTGGAAGGATTCCTGGCCTCCAAGCCCCTACTATAAAATAAAAAATAAAGGCTTCATGACTTCAACGTTCAAAACAAAAAAAAAAGAAAAAAAAAGAAAAAAAAAGAAAGGGGTATTCGGTATTCGTAAATCACAGAGAGCATGATGTGTACTCACATTGCAGCAAGATGAGGGAAGCCAGAGGGGCTCGTGTCGACTCTAGGAATGCAACTTTCTCGAGCAGTTCCAAGCCTGTGGCCCTGTCGTTGGGCATTCCCAAGAACTCTGTCAGGTTCCGCAGCGAGGGAGGGATCAAGGACAGCATTAGGTTGAACAACCCCCCCCCGAACTCCACCCCTGCTCGTAAGGAAGCAAGCTCGGCATCCTCAACAACTGTTTCCTCTCCTTGGCCTGACGCTTGCTGTTTTGCACCGTTGGTCTCCCTCGGACTACCATCTCGAGAAACTTTGTCCTTTAGTCGGTCCCACATTGCGCCCACATAAGCGAGTCCAACTGCATCGCCCTTCTCATGACTCTTCTCTTTTGGGGGACATTTTCCAGGAGTAGAAGGACACTGTGGGTCATCGGAATCTGCAGCTCTGACTTTTCCGAATTTCAAATCGATTTCGAAGTCATCACCATAATCATGGGATGGCTTTCTAATCCACCTCAACCCGCTCGATAGGGACTCGTCTTTGTCCATTTTTCCAACAGCGCTAAGGTCATCACCGTGAGCTCCACCCATGTCATCTGAAAAGGGCAATAATGCGGAAGGGTCGATCGTTTTTCTCGGTGACTGCTCACCCTCGAGTTTACGCTGATTGACGCCAGAGCTAAGATCTACGGCGCCCGCATGCTTGACTGCATCATCTGCATGGTGGTCCCCAGGGGAAAGCTTATCTTGGATGATCTGACTAAGTTTCTGTTCAACTAGGCAATAAGAATCCCATGCCTTTTTGATGTAGTAGCCTGCTTTCAGGATGTTCGTCCATCCCTCTCCACCTCCCGCAACGTACAGCAACGCCATGATTAAGTTCGCCTCTGCCTGAATAAGCGAAGCTCTCATCCTCAACCTGTTTCCCCACACCCTCAGTCCAATACCAAGAAAAAAACATCAAACCTGTTGTCACTAAGGACTGCCAGCAACAGGAGAGAACAAAGGACTGCCACCAGTCCTGAACGTAGCGAATACATCATAAATTCATAATATGTATGAGCAACCACATGGTGTCATGAATACGGAAGACGCATATAGACTACGACCACACACACACACACACATTTAATCATACATAGGCATAAACTTGACGTACTTACTCTTCTGTCCAAATGAGCATCTCTAAGAAGTCCCGAGATAGTCGTGCTTGTCTGTTTGGAGTGCCTGCAACATGATGACGGGGGCCTGCGTGCTTGCTTGGGATGACTGTGCCTGGGTGTTCCTTGGGTGATGACAGGCATTTGTCGAAGTGGGTTTCCTGGCTCTGAGGGTGGTGGGAACCAATAGTGTGCGGGGTTGTAGTTGTGGTGTCAGTAGGTAATGGTCTACTTTCGTCCGTGTGTGGCTGTGTGGACTGCCTTCTCTGTGCTGCTTTGCTGCCTGGCCACGTATATTGGCGTGCCTTCTCGTCCCATGCTCTCACCATGTCGTTCCATGCTCACGCCTTGTCTTTCCATGCTCTTGCCTTGTTGTTTGGCTGCCTTTTGCCGCTATGCCTTTTGCTGTGCCTACTACCTTCTGACTTGCTGCTCTTTGTCTTGCTCGGTCCCAGGGTTCCCAAGTCCCATGTATCACAAGTCCCAATCCAATAGGTAGGGTCATCGAGTTTAGTCTAGTAGGCCCGATACGTCAAAGAGTCCGGTCTAGTACTCCAGTGTTGTCCGCGGTGCACAAGTCCCAGGAAAGATAGCGAACATTCGAGATGCATCGAGGAACAAGCGATGGCCAGCAAGTCCGGGTACCGATCGGGAAAGTTTGAGGAAGGGGAAGCAAATCGTCGCATACGATAAATAGCACAGCAGCTGTTTGCATCAACATCTTTTTCACTTGTGCTGATAGAGAAGCGCTGCTGGTGCCATCTTGTGCAGCCAAGGGACGAGTGAGGCTACAAAGACGCTGGGCGAGTAGCAGAAGTTGACGGCACTGGCCGCCATTGCTAGCTAGGAGGGTAGAAGAGCAAGAAGACATCCAGAGAGGAATAATTGAGGCCTGTGGGTAGAGATAGAGGGGGAGAGTGAATGAGGGAACTCAGTATTGCTGGTGGTTGCTGGTGGACAGAGCTTTTCGCTGCCCAGCTTGTGCGAACAAACTGGTTGCATAGAAGATTTCGATTTCCAAGCAGTTGCGAAGTCCTCATACCTCGTTTTTGGCTTTCTACTCTCGTGCGATCAAGTGTGCTATCTGTGCCTTGTGTCATTCTGTTTGAACTTTGAAGTTTCGGGCTCATTGCATTCTAATCTAATACTAATCGGAAGAAGAGTCGTTCCTTTTTCGTTCAGGTGTGAATATATTATTTTGCACAGAATTCAGAAAGAAGTTGCATGCTTTCTTCATCAGGCAGAAGCTACAACCAACCTGCGTACTCTCTGATCATGCAGCTTTTCTTCCACGCTCCCAGGCTCGGGTTCTGACACTTTCGCAGGCACCTCTGTTCCTGCTTCCTCACCGCCGCCGCCCTCCTGGGACTCCTGGCCAGCGTTCCCATGCGCTGCTGCTTTCATGCCAACCTTTCCAAGAGCCCATGTCTTCAATGATGCCACTGCTGTATTGACAGCCTTTACCCTGCTATGAGTACGCCATCTGCATTCGCAGTATTTTATTTCATTTTTTACGAGAGACACAGTCGTCAGTTTTTCTTCTACTTTTTTCTACAAACATGACTCATCTGAGAACCGAAAGTTGCCTCCATTTTTCCGATGGTTACCTCAACGTGCAACTGAAAAATGTGTCGTCGTTTCCTTCGAAAAGTTCATTTTGTTTACTCGATTTGCAAGTTTTGAATCAAGATTCACGTATTACGTAACGCCACCGTACAAACATGGTCATATGATGGTATAAAAATCATTGGCGCGCCAGGACCCAGCAGTATGGAGGTCACTATATATTTACTGTGACATGTTTTTTTTTTTTTTTTTTTTTTTTTTAAAAACAGAGCCTTAAGGTCTTGGCTCCTTCTATTCTGGGGAGCGGGTTCCTATTCCACCGGCAAGTAGAATTACACAATACATCAATTGACACTCACACACGCTTCCATCCGTCAGGCCAAAGGATCCCTGAACAGCATTGATTGCTCCACCACGGGAGGATTGACTGTCAGCTTGCCTGGTCCCTCTCTTTCCTCTCAGACCAGGATTCCTGATCTGTCAGATAGTGCCTTTGACCCTAGAAAGAGCTCCTCTGTTGTCCTTACCCAACCTGCTCCCTCCCCATAAAACTCTTTGCCCCCCTTTGGATGGTCAACCGTCCATCCTTAAAACCTGAACCCTCAGCCTGCGTTCCTATCCTCCGATCGTCAAACTTGGAGCCTGGCAGGCTGTTTGTCAGCTTCCGGACCTCTGAGGTAACATCTTCCTTTGCAACCCCCTGTTCATGCTCCGGTAATATCATCTTCTCCAACTTGTCCCCCTTTTTCCACGTTGTCTGTAACCTCTGGGCCTCTTGAGGATTGTATTGAGGATTGTGTTTATCCCCTTGCGGCCTAGGATTTGATTATGCCTTCCAGCTGTTGGAAACCCCTTTCTTGAATTGAATTATGCCAATCTTTCCAGCATATCCGGTCCTGTCGCAATTCTGCAACCTTGCCATTTACCAGCCAGTTCCTATAGAATCTCAGCCTCTCCTTGTTCTGCTGTTCCTCGTCTTCTGTCCAGGCTTGTCTAATCTTCCGCCATCTGCAAAGGATCTCAGCTTGAATCATTGTTTTAGTCTCTATCCACACTTTCTCCCGTGGGTTGGACCGTCCTTCGATTGTTCTGCTGCATCTCTCCTTCCATATGACCCACAGGGTCACTTTCCTGATGAGTTCAAACCAGATCCTCTCAGCCTTCCGTGCCTGGTCAGGGATGTTAGTCAAGAGGAGCAATTGAATGGGTTGTTCAGGGAAGGGAGAAGCGAAGAGGGAATCCCAGGGTGAAGACGCTCTTGCCCAGTATTCGGTCGCTTCTTTGCAAAGCACTAGGCAGTGAACTACATCTTCTACCGCACCTTCGGCGCAGGCTGTACACACCTCCGAGCTGTCTGGGTCTGTGGCTTTCCGTCTAATGTGCAGCCATTGGTTCACCGGTAAGGCAGCATATACAATCAGCCATTGCAAACTTCTGATCTTGATTGGTCTGATACGTTTGAATTTTTCCCAATGGATTCGTGTAATTTTGTCTGCTTCTTGACCCACGAGGTTCCGCCATGTATTTCTGATAACAGGATCTGGATTTTTGGTCTTCAGAGACAGTCTGTACCCAAGTTTGACTGAGTAATCTTGGATTGGGATCTTTGACTTGAAGCTGCTGGTAGTATTAGGGTTCCAGGCCCAGTCCGCAGGGTCGAACTCCCAAGGACCGGATTGCAGTGTCCGGTCTGAAGATTGCCTTTGGCCATGTACCTAGGACCCTTACTTTCCTGAGGAGGAAGGACTCTAGTATATATTGTTCTACATTGTAGTTCAGAATAGCTGGCATGCCCGAATTGGTGAGGGAGATCGGGAAGGAGAGGAAAGTAGCCCTGGTGTTTGAGCCTTGCTGCATGTGGGAAAATTGGTAGGCTCTAGAGGGGGTTGTGTCTTGAATCATAAGACCCCACTCGCACAGCCTCCACGAATCATCTTTTACCAGGATATCTTTCCACTCCTGTGGAATACGACTAAGTATGTACTGAAGATTGGTCCCTCGTCTGTGGCATCCTTTCAATCGGACACAAACTTCTTGTTCCGTTATCCAGTCTTTTCTGTCCTCTTTCCACAAGTGATCTACTTTCCAGATACCGTTCTTGATCCAAGACAGCCATCTCTGTTCTAGGAACAGTGGGTTGTTGGCCTCGTTTGTTAACCATTCATTCCCGAAGAGCGGTTGTCTAAGTACTTCATCCTTGGATTTAGGTTTGTTTGTCTTGTTAGGGATTATTTTCCTCCACGATTGGAGCAGTGCCGGCCAGTAAGGGTTGGGCGGTCGATGGTCTTCAAGTCTGATATTCCTCGTTCGATTCCTGCGTCCTGTAGATATCACCCATTCTTTGTTCATTACCCAAAACAGGCCTGACATATCGTTTGGGGAGGGTACTGGTGCTATGGATCTGATGCTAACCAGCGCCAACTTGTTCCAGGCGCTGCCCGGATTCATCAGCAGTTTGATGATCCATTTGATTTGCAGAGCTTTCGTTTTTGTTCCGGGGTCAATGATTCCTAGGCCCCCGTCTCGTGGCTTCCTTGTAACATAGTGCCAGGCTATCTTGGATATGCCCTTGTCTTTGTTGGGGTCTCCTGTCCATAGGTAAAGCCTAGCTCGTCTGTTCAGCTCCTTAATCGAGCTGTCAGGAACTGTCCAAATAGAAGCGATGTACCACATCATTGAAAAGACCGACGTGTTGAGGACCAGTGCTCGACCAATCAGGGAAGTAAAGGCGTTGCCCCACCTTCCAATTTTGTTAATCTGTTTGGCCAGCATGGATGGGCCCATTTGGGGCGCCAACCCTTGTTTCGTCATCAGGATGCCCAGATAACGAGTGGGTGTATCCGAAGTTTGCCATGTCATCGCCGCCTCATCTCCTTGGAGAGAAAGGGGTTCGTCCTCGGAAAGCCACCAGTCAATTGTTTTCTCCCAGTTGATCTTCATCTCTGAGGCTAGTCTGAATGCTTCCATTGCTTTAGCTAAGGTTCTAAAGGAAGAATCTGATGCTCTGATTAGAACCGTTAAATTGTTTGCGAACATGATTGCTGTGGGAAAATCCATCTGATGGGCAGAGCCTACATCGGTGCTGGCAAGTCTCTGAATTGATGGATCCTTGCGCAAAAAGGATGTGATTGCCTCCATTACGAATAGAAAGATTGACGAGGCCAACGAGTCTCCTTGGCGAACCGAGCGGGATATCGGATAACAGTCTGACAAGAGTCCGTTGACTTGGACACAGCCAACTGCATCCTTGTACAGTATCCTAACCCACTTTCTAAAGTTTGGTCCGACTCCCATTCTTTCCATGCTTGCTTCCATAAAGTCCCAGTTAACTTGATCATATGCCTTCTCGAAATCAAAGAAGAGAATGACGGCGTTTATTTTCCTTTCTCTGATTTTCCTTACCGACTCGTTCAGCGTCATAACATTGTTTAGAATATAACGATCCGGGATGAATCCTGTTTGGTCTATGTGGAAGCATTTGTTGGTGATCTTGATGATCCGGTTGCACAGGGTCTTGGCCAGGATCTTGTATGGGAGAGTTAACAGCGAAATGGACCTGTAGTTCTTGATGTCGTCTTTTTCACCCTTTTTGTAAAGTAGTGTGACCACGTTGCTGCTGAGTAAGTTACCCAGCCCTCCCTTAGACCAGCTGTCATTATAGAAGTTTAGTAAGTCACTTCCTAGCAAAGGCCAAAAATTTTCCCATAATTCTTTTGTTAACCCATCGATTCCTGGAGTCTTTTTGTTGTTCATGCTTTGTAGAGCCCGAAGTAATTTTTCTGATGTGATTGGATTGTCGAGGGCTTCCGGCTGGTCGAGTGATATTGTTCGCTCTAAGTATTGAAGCATTTTTTGCCTTGCCTCTCTGACGTTGATGGGTATTGGTACCCCAGTCTTAGAGTGGTAGAGATCCTTGTAGAAATTGTTGGCTATCTCTAACATACCTTCGTTGTCTGATCTCACGGTTTTGGGTGCTGCGTGTGACCTCAGGCCTTCTATCGTGCCTGCTCTCGAATTTGGTTTGATTCGGGCAAAGAAATGTTTTGTCATTGAGTCGCTAAGCTCGAACTCACACATTCTCGCTATTATTTGAAGGCCTTTCAGGTCCCACAATTTCCACATGGCCAGTTCCTCTCGAGCCTTGTCGAAAATGTTGATATACAGTTGGGAGGCGGGGTTGTTCATCGGATTAGTTTCTGCTATTTTCAGCGCAAGTTCTAGTGATTGCTTTCTTTGTTTCCTTATTGATGCTAGCTTCCTAGAGACTTTGGCCACGGTGTCTGAGAGGTTCGAATAACTCTTCTGAAACCATTCCCAACGAGGAACAGTGCTTAGATGCGCCGATCTCAACCCTTCCCAGCAGTCGCATACTTCACTTTGGAAGGTCTGGCTCAGCAGTAGGGAATTGTTGAGCTTGTGGAAGCTGGCTCCCTTTTTAACCAGTTGGTCAAAACATATGACTAATTCGGTTGGTTTGTGATCCAATCCTGAATAAGGCGCCAACGGTAATACTTCAGCCTCCTTGGCTGCCCCCATCATGACTTCGGACACTAGAAAGTAGTCTATTCGTGAGAAAGCCATATGGTTGGCATGGTTTTTCTTGACTAGGGTGAAAGTTCTCTTGTTGGGGTGTAGGATTCTATGGGGGTCTACCAAGTTGTGATCCAACATCATTTCATGGATTGGTGTTGCTTCTGACAAGTTTGGGGTGCTGGCGGATCGAGAAATGCGGTCTACTGATGGGTGTATTGTGGCATTCCAGTCACCTGCCAGAATACATGGGGTCAGTGGCGGAATCAGGTCTCCGATATGTCTTAGAAAGGTCGTCCTTTCTGTTGGTGAGTTCGGAGCGTAAATGTTGAAGAGTAGGAAATTCTTCTTCCTTCCATTTCAG